ATTAAGAAAATTCATTCATTCATTCTTCATTCATTCGTTTTCAAAATTGTTAGTCCTATCTCTATCTATTTTTATTTTTGCTCTTTTTATTTTCTTAATATTAGTGCACTAATCGATGGTTACATTCAGTGACAAGAATTTTTCAATGGTACCATCGATAATCTACCACATTTATCAATAATCAGTTGGTATTTATGGTATTCGTCTGAAATTTCATATTATTTTATCTGATTATATAATAAAACTCAGCTAAAATGAAATAAAATTCTTATGTCTCTTAAACTCTTATGTTCATTTCATAGTTGCATATTTGATTATTATGGGAGCAATTCTCATCAGTTATTTGAGTGGTGTTTTTGGTATTTATATCACCGAGACGTTTCATTCAGTTTAAAATGTGATAACTTTCCAAAAATTTTTAATTTTATGTTATCTAAGATATATCATTCTCTAATAGTTTTTCTTTACTTCGCTGGCTTTATTTTTTTGAATTTTTTTAAAACTTCCATCCGAAATCATATCTGAAAATATTTGTAGTTGCTTTTTTTTCCGCTATCTGAGCCTATGTCGCTAACTGAGTCTAAATTTTTTTTTCTGATTATGTCTATACAAATTCTCGGCTAAGCTCTCTTTCTTTCGGCTGCTACCTATAATGGTGAGTGAGTGATTTTTCTGGATTGGCTTTGGTTTGCCAAGTCGTAAATTCGAATAAACAACGCAATTATTTTGGCAAAAAATATTAAAGTTTTTCAGGAAATCGTTTTCACCTCTCAAGCCATTATTCACATAAAAATGTAGCAAAATAACAATAATTAATAATAACAATATTTATAAGAATAATTAAATAATTATTTGCTTCAATGAAATAAGTGAATATAACTTTGGTTGCGATTAACGACAGTCTTTTAACTTCAACTCTGTTACTGCGGTCGTTGTTCTTTAATTATTAAAAATAAGAGAATCGACTGGAAATAAAAATTGGAGAATTGCATTTTGAGAAATTAATTCCATAATTTTTCAACATGAAACGTTTGTTCAAAGGACAGAAAAAACATTTCTTACAGTCTATTAGCACAAACCACAAGTCAACCGGCATTTAACGCGCATAACAACTCCATAATCGCCAACATTGCAGAGATTGCGGTGCCTTGGACAGTCGGTATGGTCGTCACGACAGCTTCCCCGCGATACTGCAATAAATAGAAGCGTTGTAACAATTTTCACATAATTATAGGAGTGGAAGATTTGGTGATTCTCCTAACGCCCGATTATTCGATTACTGCGTTCAATTGCGAGGAACTTATCTTTGAAAGTGAAATGTCAGAATCGCTGAAATCGCCATAATGGGTGAAGAAAAATGGCACATGTTGAATACTGTTTTAAAATTTTCTTTGCACAGCTTACCGTTTGCACCATCCATTTTTACGTCATATTTTAAGAGCAATTTGAACTATGGAAAAAACATACGCAACCATGAAATATGTGAATTATTATAATATGTTATACAGTGACATTCGTAATATCGATTATACTAACAGGTACCAACGCCTTTTTTGACCTATTAAAATCGATAATAATTAGTGACCCACTTGTTTGATTTGTAAGACAATCTCGTGAGAAGCACGACCTCTGGCACAAATTCTTGAATCGATTGTCAAAACAAATACCCAACCGCGCTACCTTTGAGTTTTTAATGAATATACGAGAGATAGTTCGATTTGTTAAAAAACATTTGACAGCCTTTTTTAAACTGTTTTTCAAAATTTTTTCCAGATTATTATTATTGTAGTATTAAACTTGGATTGCAGCAATAAGAATTGCTTAGCCCTTACTATTTTGGCAGTTGTATTCTTTAGTTAAGCAACACGTCGCGCATGTTCGTGGGCATATTTGTCGAGCTAACATTTTTTTTTTTTTCGCTTCTGCCTTTTCATTAATGTCATTAATCTTCTGGTTTTTACCGCGCTACCTTTGAGTTTTTAATGAATATACGAGAGATAGTTCGATTTGTTAAAAAACATTTGACAGCCTTTTTTAAACTGTTTTTCAAAATTTTTTCCAGATTATTATTATTGTAGTATTAAACTTGGATTGCAGCAATAAGAATTGCTTAGCCCTTACTATTTTGGCAGTTGTATTCTTTAGTTAAGCAACACGTCGCGCATGTTCGTGGGCATATTTGTCGAGCTAACATTTTATATTGGTCCTTCTGACAGTTCTCTGGAACTTTATAATCCTGATCGCTGAAAGGCATTGTCATTCTCTCTTTTTGTTCAATGCGGTAAGAAAATATGAAAAATTTCAAGATTTAAAAAAGAATTCTGAAAAACATTTTATACACCATTAGGATCAATTAGATTAATAAGCCAATTTTTCAATCAATTTTTTCAATCAATCTCCAACAATAATGAAAATTCAGCAAACTATCCACCGATGGTTCTGCTAATAAAGAAAATATGAATTCATCAGCATTATACATCCATGAATCGAAAAGTTCAGAAACTAACGGATTGAGATTATTTGCAAGCTTCATTCCGGCGTCGGCTGTAAACTTGAATATCTCGGGACAAGCCATATCACGATCTTGGCAGTTCTGAACAGGCACGGAAGGCCTTCGTTTGAGAGCATTTTGCGAATCGCGAACAGACTTAACACAAATCTCTAAATCAACTTCATCTCCGCTAGCAAAATTGCATAACAATACAAGAATAAGTAAATACGTAATCATGGTCAAATAGTTTTCGTTCAACAAATTTCGCTTTTTATAGTCAATTTTTATTTATTTTTCATATTAAAATAAATCAAAAAAAGTGATAAGCATTATTAGTGAAGCTGACAGCTGGAATAACATTTTTTTCGAAAAATTTTTTACATATTTTTTTCACTTCTGGTCGACTGATAAATAATGATAATAATTGTCGGTGATAAATAATGATAGCAATTAACAACAATAGAACTTTCGAGATTTCGAGGTCGAGGTTTTTCGAGATGAATTTTATGCATAATTTAGCAATTTAGAATTGCTGTGCTTTGAATTTTTTGTAGTTCCTTAAGGAAACAATATATTTTGAAAAGTGATATTAGTTGTTTCGTTTGTAAAGTAACGAGGATTTCGATCTGAAATCAGAGATTTTACTTCATATTTTGGATGAATCGTTCTCCTTATTTGTTACCAATCTTAATAAATATTAGAAAGATTTGCTCTCAAGCTTGGAAATCGCAATGGTGCTTTTATATTAGCACAACTTTGGCATTCATTTTTTGATTGCCTTAAAGCAATTTTGCTTAAATAGGTGCATAGGCAAGGCCACGACACCTTAGTGTTAACGCTATTACTATAGTTCGACGTGTGTTCGTTCAAAAATCGGTATTTATACGAAATATTTTATAACAATCTCCAGCGATTTGTTAATTTAAAACGTGGCCACGCAACGAATTCCAATGTGTGTTGAAGAAGTAAAATGGCGTGCAATGTTAGTTTTCGCGTTGCTTGCTGTTTGAACGTGTTTGTTTGCCAAGCCTTTGAGAAGATATAGCAATAATTGGGATATTTATAATATTTATTCCGGCAACATGAACAATACTCCAAGGAGCTAAAATCCGATTGTCTTCATCGCACTAAGCCTTATAGATGTGTAATGGAAACGAAATAGCATTCATAAGGATATAATAAAGTGTTACTTATCGATGATGAACAATTTATGATTCTATTTCAAGATATATGTTCTTTAAATTGTTCTTCCTTGAACTTCCTTTGATTGGCTGACTTTCTCACTCGAGGAGGGAAATGCAATTGGTCCTTAACACAGCCCAGATTTCTCCTTAACATTTAATACGCGAAGAGAATCAGTGGTTCGACCTTTATCGAATATAGGTCACAATTCCTTTTCACAATTCCTGTTACGCTGATTATTTTGAACTATTTCCTTCCTTTTTTTCTTTTGGGATAATTGAAAATGATTCAGAAAATTATGAAAGACATATCCATAATTTTTATAATTCAATATCCATAACTTTTATAATTCAATACAAATGGCAAATTTAGTCATAAAATTTAAACAAATACGTTCGTATTTGCTGCAATCATTTCCGTTAATGAATTTTTTTCACAAATAATGTTGGTTGTCGAATTGGCTGCCCGGAAAAGTTTTTTTCTTTATTTATTTGTATAAGTTAATATTTATTCAAAAAACCACAAATAGAAATAGTGCACAGCGATTTTAAAGAAAACCTAGTTCCAATACCGCATATGCTTATTGCAATCACTATCAATTCTATTGTTTTATTATCAAGGAAGTAAATAAACAAGTAAATAGGTAAAGTAAATAAGCAAATAAGTATGTGCATCGCAGATTTTAATAATATTTATTATTGTTCTATTATCATTGTTGATTTAAAAGAAAACAAATCGAATGAAAATAATAAAAATTATTTGTGATAATCGACAAAACGACAAAAATTCCATTAAAAGTTCGTTTATTAGTTCGTTTAACCAGCGAAAGCGATGCTGATAAAAATAATATATAATGATCTTAATTTCGTTAACTTAGTTCATTATAACTACTGAAAGAAACCATGAATGATAATTGATAAAATGCTAGAAATTCGAGAAAGAATAAGCGAATAAATATCGATAAACTTTTTTTACCAGTTTTTCTATACCGCCGATTCTGCTTTTTCGCCTAAAACAAATATATTTATAAGAATAAATTCAATAAATAACAATAAATAATTTAAAACTCTGATAATTTATTTATTATATGTAATGTGATAGGAGAAAATTATAGGTTTATGAAAAAAGATCAAATAAAATTGTAAAGCAAAGAAAATGTAATACAATACGCCGTCATTATTTCACCGTCCAGTTTATTACTCCCCTTTCACAACATTGGACGACCTACACCTTCCCTGGTATATAAATCTGTTGTCAAAGAAAATGCCCAGTCGCACCAAAACATCACAACTATCGATAGTGTCCGAGTTATTATTCAGTGCTTAATTTTATTATAGTAAAAATTGTAACTGCAATTGTAAAAACATGTGAAATCAGTAGTAAATAGCAAAAATAGCAAAAAATTCTAAAATATTCTAAAAATCCCTTTTTTTTTAAATTCTTCAAATCTATTCGTGTGAGACCAAGTTGAAATTACCTTTCTAAAGTCGCCTGTGGCATTATTCATTAAACGGTGTGAACTTTGACTTTTAAGGACCGCAATAGGCTTAAAGAGTAATTATAATGGGGAAATCATTCTTCCATTTAATGAATTAATATTATACGAATACCAAATTTGCAAGTGCCCTTTTATCTAAAAACACATAAAATTTCTAATTAACACAGCTTCGACTCGCTGGGCTTACCAGGCTAAATTATTCTGAACCGAGAACCGAGAATCAGCCAGTCTATTGAGCCAACTTTGATTTCATTTAACTTAAGCACAGACAAATGGATTTTAAAAAAAACCGAAAAATGAGAACGGAATTAAACTGAAAATATGAAAGCAAAAATTTTTAATTTATAATTATATGCAAAAATTTCTTAAAAAATATTAATTTAAGCTGAAAATATGATAATTAGCAACTATCCCGAATACTTTTTTCAGCAATTATTTTATTAAATCTGCAATTTGCATGTTTGATACGAAACCAAAGTCTTCTAATTTTTCAAATATATGAAAATTATTATGAAAATTTACATTTTCATTATTTCTCAAAATGATGAAATGAATAATCCGAACGGTTATGTTCATATTTTATTAACAATAATATGAATTAAAATTGCCTCAAATTCTCGTCCGTCGTAATCGATTCAATTCATTACACATTGAAATAGTTTTAGAAAAATAATGAATATTAGTTATTATGAAAAGATTAATTGATTTAATGAGTTATCCGCAAAATAGAAATATAATTTAGATCAGTGAGGCTATAAATCAATGAAAGAACAATGATTTGTTGATTTTATGATTTTAAAAAAATTTATCGCAAATTACAAAAATCATTTCGTTTAATAATCGTTAATAATTATAAATCGATATGTTTAATTTTTATATTTTTATATTTAACTTTCAATTTTTCCAACTATTTCACTGCTTAAAACAAGTGTATCCAACTATTTCACTGCTTAAAACAAGTGTATTTCGAACAACAGTGATGACGAGTATTTCGCAAAAGCTTGTGGTTATGGTGAAACTATGTATTCTATTTGTATTGCTTGTGTTTGCTTATATTGTATTATATATGATATGTATCCTGATAAGAAACTGGAATTCCTTTAAATTCTGGTTTACCGTAGTAAATCCATTATTAGTTATGTAAATCGAGCAAAAATTATCCGATTTCTCCATACTATAATTTATTGATATTTCACATAACAACATCTTTCCATGAATTTCTGCTATGAAAATTATATAATTTGGAAAATTTTTTGTCCTTTTCATTTAATCTTTTTTTATATAAGTGCTGTTGAGCTGAGCTGTCAAAAATTTTTTCCAAAAAACTTAAATAGCTGATAATTAAAATAGTATTTAAATAGCTGATTTTCAAGTGGAGGAAAAGAAACATTATTTATTATTAAATGTATTATGCAAAAACAAGCTGATAACAAAAAATTATAGGTCGGCGACAAGTTGTTTGAGTGGTGAGCATGATCGCTTCATTATGCTCCACTGCTTATCACTATATCTATCTGCTAACGTAGATTGTGTTGATAAAGATTTTGATTAATTTATTTATTTTCCTCCCGTAGTTTGAGAAGGAAAAAATTCTATATGAAAAATGAGTCTTTATGAATTGATCGTTTTGGATGGATAAAAATAAAATAGCAAAATAACAATAATTTATAAGAATAATTAATAAAAATAAGATAAGACAATCGGCTGAAAATTAATAAGAATGACAGATTTGCATTAAATAAGTTGAGTCCTTCACCTTTCAGCACAAAATGTTTATCCAAAGGACAGAAAAAAAGTATTTCTTCCGATCACCGACACAAACCACAAGTCAACCGGCATTTAACGCGCATAACAACTCCATAATCGCCAAAATTGCAGAGATTGCGGTGCCTTGGACAGTCGGTATGGTCGTCACGGCAGCTTCCCTGCGATACTGCAATAAATAGAACGGTCTAACAATTTTTACATAATTATAGGAGTGGAAGATTTAGTGATTCTCCTAAGGCCCAATTATTCGATTATTGCGTTCAATTGCGAGGAACTTATCTTTGAAAGTGAAATGTCAGAATCGCTGAAATCGCCATAATAATGGGTGAAGAAAAATCGCATATGTTGAATATTGTTATAAAATTTTCTTTGCACAGCTTACCGTTTGCACCATCCATTTTTACGTCATATTTTAAGAGNACTTCATCTCCGCTAGCAAAATTGCATAACAATACAAGAATAAGTAAATACGTAATCATGGTCAAATAGTTTCCGTTCAACAAATTTCGCTTTTTATAGTCAATTTTTATTTATTTTTCATATTAAAATAAATCAAAAAAAGTGATAAGCATTATTAGTGAAGCTGACAGCTGGAATAACATTTTTTTCGAAAAATTTTTTACATATTTTTTTCACTTCTGGTCGACTGATAAATAATGATAATAATTGTCGGTGATAAATAATGATAACAATTAACAACAATGGAACTTTCGAGATTTTGAGGTCGAGGTTTTTCGAGATGAATTTTATGCATAATTTAGCAACGAATTGCTGTACTTTCAATTTTTTG